CCCAAATGCTTCCGCATTAGGGACTACTCCCATTTATGTACTTTTTGCCTCTCATATAAACGTCTTTGTCAGTATGACTTTTTTTCGTGTAACTGTCTTTCCTGTCATGTCCTTTTCTCTAATTAATTTTGAATATTACTTCCCAAGGCCTACAGTGTATGTGGGTCTGTCCCACTTGAGGTACATACAGGGACTCTCATGGCAACATTCTCCGCACAGAGCTAGGGAAGACACGTATTCTTAACTGGGGATACGTCAGACCTGTGCAACATAAGGACAGCACAAAGTCAGTTTTTTTCCCAAGGCTGCTCTTAGCAGCACAGTTTCCCTGCCACATACATTTGCTTTTCTAGCCTCCCTCACATTGCTGATCATTATGTCTGGTTAAATCTTTTTTTGCCTTTTCTGTTCACCAGTTAGATCTTCTTGATGCCTTTCCACAGTTCCYTCTCCAGGGTTTCACAAATCTTAGAGTGCCAGTATGAAGAGAATGAAGTTCATTAGGCCTCTGCCTTTAAAATCTTTAATAAAACTGTTAAAAGATAGTTGGGTGAAGATCACTCCCTACCATTTCCTCCAAGACATGGTTCCCCCCAATTCCTCCCATATCCATGTGCACTGTTCTAAAACTGTAAAGTCTGCCAAAAGCTGCTAAGGAAAATCCAGACTAAATGATGACTACAAACCTCAAAGGAAGAGAAGAACCAGACGGCTGACCCAGAAAAGARATTCATTCCATCACAAGTTCTCTTATTTCTGCACTTTTGGAATATTATCTAGGTTACTTATTCTGCTTATTTAGTGTCTGATTTCAGTTCACAAATTCCAGTTGCATGTGTAAGGGGAGTAACAAGTTAAAAAAAAGCAACCGACCTGTTGAGACACATTTAAATGCATCCTGCCAGCTGATAACATCAGAAAAAAAAACTATGACTCCAAGGCTGTTCCTGGCACAGATGATGTATGCAACTTTGAGGATATGTCTGCATATTTGAATTAAGGATGATAAGTGGCTTATACACAAGTAGTTCAAGTGCGCTCTTCAAAGATTCTCAAAASAGAAACCTTGTGCTTACAAATACAGGACACCACTGATGAGGATTGAAATGCACCACCTTTGCTGTCTTATTTAGATTCCCTACAGTCCATAATCATCTCACTGTTTGCTCCTCATCTTTTATCTACCTGTCATATATTTTGTCTATAAAATGGAACAACGCATTTAGCTACAGCACTAAGGACAAAGAAAGACTTCAGTAAGAAAGCTGATAACAAAAACACTTTTCATATTGCAATTATAGATTATGAGTCTATTTGCACAATGGTAAAATATCCAGAATTCTTAAACTTCCAATTTTTTACAGAGATTTTTTCTTAAATGGCCTTGTCATGCACCAGGTATATTATCTATCACATGTGCATTTCATATGCCTCCTCCAGGCAGGGATACAACACCCTTACTAGTGTATTTAAACATTGTGCAGTTTTCTTTATTAATCCATCCTTCAGACTCTTTTGATAAAGAGAAAAAACACTGGAAATCAATTTTATAAGTAAGGATCTGAGTCATGTGGCACCTTCAGAGAAAAGGAAGGCAGGAAGGGCTTATGCATAAARGGCACTAGTGAAATATCTAGAGACCTACATGGCAGATTAAGACACACTCTCTTACAAYCCAAGGTAGCACAGGCTTTTCCTTGTCAAGATTGTCGGGCTCAAGGGCCGGGCTCATGGTTGGCACTCTGCCTGGGGGCTGGTTCCCAGTGCAGGGCTCTGTACTGGCTTGTGACCTGTTTACTACTGTTGTTCATCATCATCATCACTTGATGGTCATTAATCATCAGAGAGGCTGAAACGAACCCTCATGTAGTTGGTGCAGAATGGCAATTTGGGGATGCAGTCAATGGGCATGAGGGTGGCAACCCCATGCTGGGGTCAGCACAGGCTGCAGAAAGGGCCTGACAAGGAATATGGTGACATTCCTCAAGGAGCATCAGGCCATTCCTCAAGGAGCATCAGGCCATTCCTCAAGCGCAGCCCCATCCCGAGAGGGCAGAGCCCGGGCAGCAGCTGCCGGGCAGGGAGCGCCAGGGAGCCGCTCCGTGCGGACGGCGCGGCGGGCCAGAGAGCGGCCCGTGCCCCCGCCAGGGCGCCGCGGCCTTGCGGGCTG